TACAGAAATATGATGTCCTACTGTACTTGATTAATGARGCAAAACTGACTTTGCTTGTGTAACATAATGGCACTATTTTATCGCGAAGTATTTGCTCTTCCACAAAGGAAAAACCTTGTAATCACATGTGAAGGTTATAAAAGATGCAGTCTGCRAGTCAAAAGTGTCCTATTACCACCAATCAAGGTGATAATTAAGACCAGGTTTCTGCAAGGAGGGGGTAGGCATTTAAGGGGCTTCACAAAGTATTGAACTTCATGCACATAATAAACAGTTGAAAGTACCCTTATTTTATTATGAAGATGCTGAACATGACTAAAAGTAAGGCKTATTATTGCATTCATAAATATCTTACTTTGCTAGGCTGATTCTGTGTAACACAAAAAACTTGCCCACTCTCTACACATACTGAAAATGAGSGAGCTTAATGATTGGCTTTTTGTTGTTGGGGATTTTTGGGGGGTGAATTGTGGGGTTTTTTTGTTTGGGGTTTGTTTTTTTTCTTTTCCCCCAGAATTGTTCACAAATGCTTTTAGCAGCAAAAAAACTGAGGTAAAGAAAGCATCCTTTATGTGTTCAAGGTTCCAGTTCACTAAAAGCTTTTTAACAAACTAGAGTTACAATTCACATTTCAGACACTACATTTTTCCTTTAACTCATTCTTGCTGTTTTTCACATCTTCATAGGTCTGTAAGTGAATTCAGCAGATTATCAAGCAAAACATGCACATTACAAATACCCTCTCTCATAAAGAGCCAATCTCAATCTCCATAGATGTCATCAAGTACTTACAAGAACAAATTAAGTCAAGCCATGCTTGCACACTAAAATGCGTATTTCCCTCTAACCATGCATGCACCTTGTATGCTGTAAAGCTTAGGAAAGTCTATTGGTAATTGATCCTTTTTAGATAGAGAAAGTGACAAACAATTATGAACAAAACCAGCATTACACTCTCTGCTTYACATACTTGCCCAGTTCAACCTAAGTTGTGAATAGATGGAAAGCAAGACRTTCTCATATTTCAGATTCACCACATTTCTCAACAGTTTTCTAAATTCATAAAACTATACTTTKTAAAAATTAAAATGTTTAGAATCATAAACTATTTCCAAATAGATAATCCAGTGATCTTTAATGTACTGACTTGTTTCCCTTTGCCATCTCATTTATTGCGGTGTTATTCTTAATGGACARCAACTCATTACAGGCATTATTTGTAGACAGTTAATTTTCTCTTATGAAATCTATTTCAACAATTTTACTTTCAGTGTTTATAAAGGTTATTTCATACCTGTTATTTGCTAGATGTGACTCCCCCTTTTCCTCTTATGAATGAGGTATTTTTCAGTTCTCATAAGCTTTCCACAAACATTGCTGGAAAGTTGTCTAATCTGCAAGGTGAAGGTGAGATATGCTGTGTAAAACACTTTTTTTTTTTTTTTTTTTTGCACTTGCACATATAAATAAGTAATTTCAGTTTCAACAAAACACGCAAATGAATGTCAGAACTACAGTAATGGAGGAAATCTCCACCATCTTACAGCCACAACACTTCGCTTGACTTTTCATCTTCTTTATCCTCTTCTCTAAGGCTAACTTCATTTATTCCTACAATTTCTAACTCCTCACTCTTCTAAAATTTACACCCTCTGCCATTTTGTGCWGGCCACCACCCCTAGCCTGCCCCTTTCTCCTTCACTTTCCAAGCCTCCCTGATTTTGTGCCCCTGGCAAGTTATTGTCCTGYCTTCCCGAGTGTGGAGAGCACACTCCCATGTCCAGGTTCCATTACTAATAAGTGCAATTAGAGATAAAAGGATGACACACAGCCAGACTTCAGTGTCATCACACATTGAACACCACCACATTTAATCCAGCCATAATACCCAGCAGCCTGAACTTCCATGGGGTCTGGAACTTTCTTCCTGCTTTTTCCTTTCTGTCCCCCTCCCAGCTCAACCCACTTTCACATGACATGGTATAAAGTCACGTAGCCTTTAGAACACAATCTCACCAACTATCACATGAGTAGTTTGATTACAGTGGAGTTCCTCCAGGACAAAGTAAAGCACTGCAGAATTTGGAAAGTGGCCACTTGCTGAGGCCCCAAAGACAATTCCCCTCGTAACTTTATTCTTYATGTAAAGTGCTGTGCATTTCACACAGCAGTACATTTATACAGTCTTTGATCCTTTCTCTTTCTCAGGCCTCCGTAATTTTCAACTTAACCACTTCATTCTTCACTACACGTGGCCTCGTTTAAGTTCCTTATATCTGCAGAGCAGGAATTAGAGAGGCCCAGAATAGATCAAACAGTGCTGAATTTGGGTCATTATCCACAAAGCATCCCAAGACAGTCTGCCTTAGCTCTCAGGGAAGGTTCACTTGCAATGTTTTACTCACACTAAGAAAGAAGATAGGGAAAACTGGTAACTTCCATTAGACCAGAAAGTTTAAAAAAATTTAAAGCATAAYCTCAAGAGCTTCTTCAAGGCTCACATGTCTGAATGCTCACCTCTCCTTTTTCACCCAGGAGCATGGTCAGGAAAAGATTTTTTTGCACATCAGACACTTTATCTACTTTCTGTAGAAGAGTACCTGAAAGCAGCAATTTGGAGGGGTCTCTTCATAGCAACCCTTTTATCTCAACACCTGAACATGTTTAKATTTAAGCAGACTGAACCTCGTCACCTGGTTTAAATTAACTATGGGCTTAAATACTCCAGTGCACCAATGTTAAATTAGCTTACCTATACCTTTAAAAACAAACTCTTTATCTAAATACAAGCCTGGAACACTGAACCCTAGCTTTCCTCCTGTTAACCTTCTGTTATCTATTCAGTTTTCATACTTTGATTTGAAGGTTTTTATTTTCAAATTAATACAAGATATTGTATCATCCTGCTAAACCAGTTTTTGTGTCCTAGTTTCACTCTAAATCCAACAAACAGASAACACATAGTCCCTGCTTTGGTTTGCTAGTGATATTTGCATACAGACMCTAGGAAAGGTTATTTATTCCATCTGATTGATTTTTAAAGATTGTCTGTAGCACAAAGAATTAAGATTTATTTTTACATTTTGATTGGCGATTAGATCACGAACCAAGGTAGAATCTGAAAGAAACACTGACATTTAAGCATTATTAATTTAATAATGCTTGACAAGATAAATTCGAGGGCTTCACTTATTATTACTACCAATAYACACAACAGCATCCCAGCATTCAGACTCATAACACAGAAAAGTAAATCCTGGCAAGCAAAAGCTCAGACATACTGTATTTATTGCAGTCATAAAGCCTATTATGGACATCTTTGTTTATCTCATCACAATTAAACATTCATGAAGAAATATTATGGAAAAATGCATTTCTGGTCTCATCKCTAATTAGCACAATTTAAGGGTACCCTGTAGTTAAGCTGCCCAGCCTCTCTCTCAAGGAAAGTGGGGATCTGAATCTAAATTACAAATGCTCTCCTCCCCCTCATCTGTGCATTTTCAAAACCAGGATTTCAGTCTTGCTTACTAACCCATATCTGACTGATCTGACCTAACAAAGAGTRCAGTTGTACAGGGATAAACTTGTAAAGTGTATTTTATTTAATTTGCCCTGTAGAGAATCACTACATTTCCACTGTATCTATGTCATCACACATGATCTGGGTTTCAGCCTGGAACAATCAGTGAAAAATAACTAAAGGGACACATGCAAAACAATGACAATTTGCTATTTACAACAAAATCAGCATTTTTAGAAAATCAAGGAATCTGATGTCAAACACATGGTCTATACCTTCCTATGTCCACATACATCCTTACACTGCTATTATAATATTCAAATAGATTGTTTTTCCATGCAAGGTTATAAAAGTGTGGTTTATTAGGGTACTGCAACTGTAAACTTACGATTGTTTCTTGGGTTGAATTTATAACTGGCCATCAAAATGCATTACTACATTCCAGTCACTTCATTTTCYCTTGCACATTAACATAATCTCCCCCAACACTTCAATGTAAGTGAATATCAGTTATATCTGGCTGGTATTCAAACCCACAGCTCTGTATTTTTTTAATAAAGGTCCCCTTTTTATTTTCTAAGGGCATGATGCATATGTAGGTAATAGCCAACGATGAAACCACGGCTATGTTATAAACTACCTTATTAAAAATTAAGGCTTGTAATTACACATTGAAACCCGAGAAAATTATTATTCCTTTTTCCATACTCTTGTGCACCAGAGCGGCTGTGGCCATCAGACAAAGGAATATCCTAGAAAACGAATATGTATTTATTTTCCTAGACACAGCAATGGCTTGTGGTGAGGGCCCAGAGCTGGGATGCTCCTGAACACAAAAAGAAATCCTGAAACCGCACGTTTCGTCTGTCAGCGACAGGCTGTGACCCCACTATTTGTTTTTAATTCAGACCTGTTCCCTCTAGATGTCCAAGCACCTTGGTTTCCTAACAGAAGTTCTCTGAATTTCCAGGGTATCTGTGTACACATGATCTGGATTTCAGCCTAGAACAACCAGTGAAAAAYAACTAAAGAGGCACATAAAAAACAGCAGAAACTTGCTGTTTCCAACGRCACCGATGTTTTCAAAAAACCAAGCGGCAAACCCAAAGAGACGAATTAATTTTTAATGTGTTTTCATTTTAATTTCTAATAATTACAAGAAGGAAGGCCAAACCATTGAGCGGGGCAGGGAGCGGGCAGCCAGGGCATCACCGCCCCGTCCCGTCCCGGCTGCGGGCTCGTCCCGGGATGGCCGGGCCGGTCCCGCAGCGCCTCTCCCGCGGCTCGGGGTGGCCAAACGAGGGCGGCCACACAGAGCAACCGCGCAGAGAGTAAGAGAAACCGCGCAGAGAGGAGGAGACACCGCACCCGGAGACACCGGCGCTGCCCCAGCCCTGTCCCCGGCCCGGCGGCGGCCCGAGCCCCGCGGGGTGGGCGGGCACAGCGCGGAGCCCCGGCCCGGCCCCGGCCCGCCCCTCAGCTCTGGGAGGCGGAGCCGGGCGGCGATCGCGGCCCGGCCGCTTCCTGGTCACCGGAGCGGGAGGCGACAGGAGCCCGCCGAGGCGGCTGCAGGGGTCCGGCGGCCGCGGGTCCGGCTGCCGCCATGGCGTCGCTCTTCAAGAAGAAGACCGTGGACGGTGAGTGGGCGCCCGGGGAGGCCCCGGCAGCGGCCGCCCCCAACCCTCGCACGACCCCGGGCGCGGGGCTGCTCCAGCCGGGGCTCCGAGGCAGCGGGAGCCCGGCGGGGGTGGCGGCCTCGGGCCCCGCGTCCCGGCGGAGCGGGAGGTCGCAGCGAGGGGAGCAGAGGAGGGCCCGGCCCGCCCGCGGTGGCACCGGCGGCGCTGCGGGGGAGAGTCCCCGGGCCGGGCCGGCCCTGGCGCAGCGGGGCGGGGGTTCCGGGCGCACCGGGAGGGCTGGGAGCSGGGCCCGGCCATCCCGGGCCGTGGCTGAGGAGGAGGAGCAGCAGCATCCCTCGCTGGCAACGAGGGAAGCCAAAGAGGCCCGCTGGGAGTTGCTGGGCCCAGAGGGAGCCGGGACCCGAGCGGTGCCGCCGTGCGGGAGCCGCCTCCGGGCTGCGGGAGCCGCCTCCGCCGGGCCCTGGGCGCCGCGTGGGTGTGGAAACAACTTGGGCTTCGTTCTTTGGAGCCGGTCTGGCATCAAAACCGGCATTAAACTTCCGCAGGAACAACGATCCCCAAAGTAAAGCCCAAAAAGATGCCTTGCCTGCCAGCAGGCCGGTGGGCGATGCTCAGCTATCCGCATTGTGGTTCCCCGGGGTTGGTGAGCCCCAGGTCTGGCTCTCTGACATGTTGGGTGCCCTGTGTGAAATCTGGTGGGTCGGCGTTTGAAAAGGGCTCGCACAAAATGACGCTGTTCATCAACCAATTGTGTCACCGGAGGAGAACACGCACAGGTCCCACCTGGCTCTTCCCTTTCCTGATGTGGTACCTAAGAAGGGAAGAAGGGGAGTTGGCTCTACGCTTCCATGACCAAGGAAGGGTTGCAGGAGCCAGGTCAAATCCCTCTGGATGTCTCTTGTCCAACCTGTTTTAAGGAATGGAGGTGCTTCCTCCTTGCCCTGGTGTGTGTGACGGCAGCGTGACACACAGGAGTGGGTGTTGGCAAAAGRCTATCTCAGACTAACCTGGCGTATTCTCTCTGCCTAAATAACTGGGAATCTGCATYAGTTATCAGAGAGAAACAAGAACCAAGTTCTCATCTTGGCCTTCACCTCTAAATACAAATGAAAGGGTGTGTAACTGCATATAATTGTTATCAGTTTATTGCTAGCTTTAGTTTGAGCCACTCTGGGGGATCAGAAACCTCAGAAATAAGCATCATGCTCACCTTTATTGTCTCCTAAGTGTTGTTTTTTGTTTTTTATCRCCTTGAAGTTCCTACTTTTCAAGCTTTCTAAACTAATGATTTTTTTTTTAAATAGTGTAGTTAGAAAAGCCAGTCTTGTATCTGGCTATTAAGCTTTTTCTTTTAATTCCAAGTGCAGCTGTGCAAGTAATATACATTTATCTACCTTCAAAATTACTTGCCTGTAGCRTTTTCAGAATGATGTTCACTGCTGCTTTGCCAGTGTGAAGAATGCAGTTATATTCTGTGCCATCTTTCAGTTCTTAGTTATTGTCCACTGAAAAGTCTGCATTTCCCAAGGATGCTTTTTGTGTAGTACTCACTGCAGTAGTAGCATTGTAAAAACAGGTGTCATTTTCACTTTTTTTTTTTTTTTTTTTTTTAATATGTCTTTCTTTGCCCAAGAACTGGGCAATCTCCAGCAAGGTTGGAAGAGGAAGTATATATTCTGCTTTTAAAATACCACTGGAGTTTGGGATTTTTTTTCTAATTCAAACCTTTAAATGTTGAAATAATTCAGCAATTGATGCTTTACTGTATTTCTGTTTTTGGGAATGAAGAATGTGAATGCTTCTTTCTGTTTGTGAAAAAATTACCCCAAGCCTTAAAAGAGGAAAAGGCTGGCCTGTGATTCTAAAATTTATCCTGTGATTCTGTGGGTAATCCTGTGTATATTGATCTACATTGCTTCAAACTTTGTAAGTACAAAGCAGTGCCCTGCCATGATGTTACTTATGTGGATTAGAAGATCTCTAAACAAAGTTTATGCRACAGTCTGCTTCTTACAGACTCCCACACAAAGTGTAAACATAGAATAGGAGTAGATGAATCTCTCCCAGGTARTGACTTCTTTCCTCTGTAAAGGTCAGAGGATGCTGAGTCAGATGCAGATCTCCTGCCCTGCCTTTGCCCAGGTGAATCACACCCAAGCACTTGTAAATCCAGTCAGAAGTTAGTTGCAACTGCACAATTGATGCCTAGACTGTAAATAATACTTGCTCTAGTAAGAGAATGTTASCAGTAAATAATTAATAGTACAGTGCACAAAACTCTTGTGAAGGATGATAGGTTTCACCGGATGGACAGTGTTCAAGCTTTGCTGGCTATGTCAGTTGTCAGGAGACTGAAATTTGTTTAAAGGCCTCCACTTTCCCATTTTATAATTCTTAAGCATCTACTGATTGAAAGGGTTCAAACATTGTTGCTTTATAGTCTGATTTGAAGAAGGGCTGCACAAATTTGGAGGAGGGGAAGCTGCCCAAGAGCAGAATAAGGACAGAGAAGTGCAGGGTCCAGGACTTGCACCTGGGATTATTTTCACTGTTTTAATGGAGCTGGGAACTCCTCAACTGCTCTGAGATCTCATAAATCAGGTTCCTTTAGCTGCTCTATCTGTTTGGAGAGCAGTGGGATGGCAGTGAACATGATATTGCTGAGTTAGTGCTGGACTTGCAGGAAAATGTGTGTACAGTTTTCTTACTATGGGGTTAAGGCTCTTGCTGTGGTTATGGTGCTAAATAATATCCTAGGAAAAATAGCTTGCTTTTTTTTTTAACACTGCTGACACTATGTTGTATACACCAAATTGTGTTTTGCAAATATTTTATGTATCTGAAATGCTAACACTTTGCTGTGAACAATGGGAGGTATCAAACGTGCTGCATGTCAGCAGGGTGCTTAGCAGGTGGTTATGGAGTGTTGAAAACTTTGCCCAGCTATCAATATTTTCTTTGCAGATATAATAAAGGAGCAAAATCGAGAGTTAAGAGGTACACAGAGGGCTATAAGCAGAGATAGAGCAGSACTTGAAAAACAGGAGAAACAACTGGTAAGTATGACAGGGAACTTTATTTTGCTCTTCCAAACAAATACACGCTTGATATGAAAGAAAACTTGCAAAGTTTTAGATAAAACTCAATGCATAAAAATTGARTACTGAAAAAAGTTGTCTTCCCCTTTTCACTTCTCAGTTATTAAAATTGTGTTGTAAAAATTTACTGTCTAAAAGTGATTCTCAGCATTTTACAMAGGAAAATCCTGTAATGTAATGAAACAATGTATTTAGAAGAAAAAAACTGCTTTGGGTTTTCCCTGCAGTTCCTGGCATTCTCTATCCTTCAGAGGGTTTTTTTTTCTGAAAGGTTTGTAAATCACTGGTCTTGTGGTGGAGAGATTAATAGAAGTGCTATCACATGTTGCCATGACTTTCCAGTGGGAGAGAGTACTTGAAAAACCATAGAATATCATGAATACCCCATAGGGTTGTTATTTTCATTCATACAGAACTTCCCTAAAATTAACTAATAATGGTAGGACTGTTTGCCTAAATTAAGATCTGATTAGAACTTACTGTGTGTGAGCTTTCAAGTACTCAGTGGCTGAATGCTGCACCTGTGTGGCACTGTAAGAGGAGAAATGGATGTGCCAGATGGTGGGGTTTGATGCATGAAGGATGCTCAGGCTGTGGGAAAAGCTGTGTGAATGCAGCCAGTTCCAGCAGCTATTGAGGTRCTGGTTCATGGCAGCAGGTTGCATGAATACCAAGAGATGGGAATTATAAACTAAAAGATCAGAGAAATTGTTTCTGGGAGCCTTGAACGTATAAGATTATAGTAGGTTGCTCATAAAAATGGCATTTTCCCAGTATGATATATTCTAGCTCTGGAAATAGCCCTAATTTTCACAAATGCTCAGGCTGAAGTGTTGATTACTTACTACCGTAAATTGTTTCAGAAATGTTGGAATTCTGAGAAGAAGAAAGGAGCAGTGAAATGTGTCTTTGAAAAAGTTAAAATTTGCTTGTTGGAATAAGAGGAGCAATGGACAATAAATATTAATTTCCAGTGTCAGATCAGGTGAAGAAGGATCAGGGACTCATCACTCAATCTCAAAACATTTCATTATGTACTAGAAAAATGTTTTTTTTTTTCCCCCTTAATTTTAAGGTACTGCTCTGAGAAAACCCAGTTATACAGTTACATTAATTCTGTGGATAAAAATACCTTAATGTATGCAGACAGTTCTGTTTCAGTTCAGTAACCTGATATAACTATATGAATTTTGATTATTTTTATGACTAACTTCAGTAAGCTTACCCCAAACCTCTCAGAAGTAAATAATGTTCCCAAATTTACCCAAATTCTGTTCATTAAGAATAAAATCATCCATAAGTGGGGTTTGATTTCTGCAGCTGGATTATCTGCAGTGATTTAGCAATGGTTTAATTTTGCTTTGAAAATCAGGTTATAAATGTTATGTAGGTCTTTCAATTTACGGAGAAAATCCCTATTTTCCAATATTTGCTGTTAAAACCATGGCATGCAGACTAATCCCTCCAACCTGCACAATACTTTAGATACAAAAAAAAAGAAGAAAATAATATTCTGGTGATGTTATAGAAATTTTTGTGGCTTCTGTGATCTACTTTCATAGAGCACAGCTTTACTTCTATTTCAGGCCTCTAACATTTGAACAGTTTCATGCTGCTCCTTTGCCACTCTGTACCTTCTTGGATTAAAAATAGTGTGTATGACATACCCTTTAGAAATGATGAATCTGCAGAGAAGATTTTGTGCCAGAGCCATCTCTGTAATAAACTTAACTATGAACCTTTCTGGTAGTCAGGGTAATGCAGTGGGTCAGTTTATACCTGCCTTGAAATTTGACTGTTTTGCATGTCCTGGTGACTAGAATTTATCTTTTCATAGCTGCTTTTAAGTGCAGTTTTCTGGATTACCAGTGCACATGAAGTAGTGCAACTGCATACCTGTAGCTGGCATGTTCTCCTGAAAAATCCAGGAGAAAGCTGGTCTTTAAAAGCTGCTTTTACTCAGTGGTAAAAAWCAAAATGGGCAAATGGACATCTACAGAAAACTGAGCCACTATGGCAAGACCTCCATAAAAAGATTGTAAAAGAAAAAGTAGTTGCAAAGTTTACATTACCAAGTCACAAATCAGAAAGCACACTTTGAAGAATCCCAGCTGACTAGATTATTTATTTGTGCCAGGCTTTTTCCTGGTACCTCTGGGCTAAACAGGTTGTTATTTCTTTTTGAATTGACAGATTGGGGTTTGGATTTGGTTTTCTAAGACAGAAGTGTTTTTCTTATAGCATAAGCACATGTTAAATATTATATCACTTTTATTATGCTAAATGATGAGGGTAAACAGCCTGTAATTGCTGCTCACCTAACTTACCTGCTTCTTCCTCAAAAAGGCTATAGGTTCTCTCAAGGCTGAAAAAGTGTTGAAAAGAATGTGTGAACTCTGTATTTCTTACATGAGTGATGTCATTTGATTGCCCCCGAATGTAAGATCAAAATGGATTAGAGTCATGGCACCAGTAGTTGACTGGACATCATAATTCCTTCGCTTTTGGGGACTTTTTTTGAAGTGTGGCTCCCTATCCAGATATGGAATTGAATGTGTACATAGAACTGAATGTGCACACAGAATTGAATAGAGTGCACGTAGAATTGAATAGAGTGCACATAGAACATCATGGAGAAATTGAAGTTGTTGGGGTAACTGTGCTACCACACTATAATTCAGTTTTATTGAGTATTGAGTTTTTTCCTTGGGTCAAATCATACCAGCATGACGTTGATTCTGCTAAACAGCCTTTTTAAAAAAGCAAGGAGCTATTTATATAACTTTTAATGTCTTAAATATTCAAGAGCATAGTTAACTTTTGAATTTAATTATTAGTGGTAAGGCTTAATTATAGATTTTGTGTGAATGAAAATTCTGTAGAATTCATCTCACACCTTTTTTCACAGGAGCTGGAAATCAAGAAAATGGCTAAGACTGGTAACAAAGAGGCCTGCAAAGTGCTGGCAAAGCAGCTGGTGCAGCTGCGGAAGCAGAAGAACCGAACCTACGCTGTGAGCTCCAAAGTCACCTCCATGTCCACTCAAACAAAGGTCATGAACTCCCAGATGAAGATGGCAGGAGCTATGTCAGCTACAGCAAAAGTAAGGCACTGCAAGATATTCTTCTGCATTGAAATATATCATATGGTTGCAAAAATTGTGTTATTTTGGGTAATCACAGGGGTAAAACTCACTGCCTCAAGTAGTGGTGAGGATACAGTAGGGAAATGTAATTTGTGTTTATATTATTAAATTGTTGTTTAGTCAATCCAGCCACACAGCACCTATGTACTTTCTGGGGCTAGACATCTGTCTAGTGTTTACATGATAAAAATAAACTAATGCCAGTGAATGAACTCTTTCAGTTCATGAAAAACCCAAACCCTGCTGCTACAGTGCCTTGACTGTGTATATTGTCACATGCAGTTTTTATTAGGAAAAWGTAGAGCGTGATCTGTCTAGAAACCAAGGCAATGTGTCACAAAAGCTTTGTGGCCTTTGAATAAAGTAGGTTATTGCTTTGGATCTAAAGTTCCTAAAAAATCTAATCGGGAGTTCTCTGTCTTTCTCTCTGTGCTCTCTCGGGAAATAGTATTGCATTAAGTTTTCTCCCAAATCTCATCTCATAAAAGAGTGAAAAATGTCAGTTTTCTGAATTAGTTTTGAACTTCACCCCATTTCCCTGAATTAAAGAGGGATTTGGCTTTTGGCAAGGAAGGTTGTTCAGCTCGAGGTGCAGGAAGCAGAATTAGTATGCATCACTGCAGACCAAGCTGGGCTTTGATCCTGGTCCAAGTTAAATCCAGTTAAACACTGCAATGCAACTTGGTGCAGAGGGGAATTACCATGAAGACTTTGTGGTCAGGTGCCTTTTAGACACAGCATGAGAGCAGATTCCAGCCAGCCAGTGATACAAAGTTGTGACTCTGCAGCAAATTTACAAGGGGGACGTGTCTGGTTGGGTTCAACACCTTACTGAGTATTTTACCAACAGTGCTCATGTGAACAAGTTGGTCTTGCTTTTTAATTATGATGTGGGTGACTTGTTTTTATCTATGGTACATCTTAGATTAAATTTCTTGAAATCAAAGTGTCATTGCAGTAGTTACAAAGGTCAGTAGAAAAAAAAAACAAAAAAAATTTTTAAGGAAATGACCCAGCATTCAGAAAAAATATGGATTTTGAAACACAGCGGGTACTTCTGTGGATTACTGTGTGTAACCATATTGGAGAGGAAGGTCTTAAATTCCTTTGGTCACTTCTAAAGTGGGTATTTTGCCTTGTCAACATGGGAAGCTTAAAGAATTGTTTRTCTCATAAAACAATCAGTGAAAAATGTATAGGAGCAGCTGCCTCAACAAACAAGGCAAACACATAAATGCAAAGCTTTCAGAGTATTTTCAGTATATTTTTTAGCATGTATGGCACTAATTTTGGACATAGTGAAGTCCAGTTAACTGTTTATTTTAATCATGCATCTGACCCTTATTTTCTGAAGATATATCATTCTGTCAGTGCAGATACTTTTGATGTTCATTTATAACTCTTGTAAAAGAATGCTAGAGAATTCCCCTCCATGTCCAGAAAAAACTTTACAAATTCAAGTAATATGACAATAAACACAGTTTTTGAAATTCAAGTAGATTAGTATCATAATACACTATCATTTTGAACAACTCAGACATGAAGGAAACTTCCTGTGAAGCCAGCAGCAGCTGTAGTAGCTTGATACCATCTCTTTTAATTAAGCAAGTCTTTTATCTCTCAAAGATGGTTAAATTTTACATTTGAATTGCTCATGTCTAAATATAGACATCCCATAGTAACTTGGTTTTTAGGAGGGAGGGAAGCACCCCGTAACAGTGCCCATTACGGCAGTTCTGCACACCTGTACTAAAGTGGGTGAAGTTTATTTCACTGTCACAGCAAGCTCTCCACCCATCACATGGATACACCCTGAGCAAGTACTTCCTCGACACTTAGATATTTTCTTTCCAGAGAAAAGTAATTTTTCCATTATGTTGGAATATAAAAAAAAATATTTAGGGCCTGTCCTCTAGTGGTGGTTCAAATAAATGGTCCTTTCTGAATAAGAACCTGCAGCCATTTACTTCTTAATTGTGTGTAACCTTCAAGTTAGGAAAAGTTCTTCGTTCTATTCATTCAGATCAGTCGGATTTTTCCTWATAGAAGTCCAGGGGAGGGTCATGGTGCAAGAAAGATGCACGCATTTAAAAGTCTGTCTATTAGGGTATTAGGTAACAATATTTCTTACTAAGTGCAGGCTGTGCTATTGATCTGTCACTTAYCTACAATTCTTACAGGATGTAAAGAGACAAGGAAAGTGAAATTTGTACTAAAGGGTTTTTCTTAATGAATGTATTGATATTTGCTAATGTATCATTGTATGATTTAAGAGTTTTTTTTCATATTAATAGACAATGCAAGCAGTTAATAAGAAAATGGATCCACAAAAGACACTACAGACTATGCAGAATTTCCAGAAGGAAAACATGAAGATGGAAATGACTGAAGAAATGAGTAAGTTCTGCACTGCAGGGAACAGYTGGTTGCTCTTGACAGGGGAAAACCAGCTTAGAAATACTCATGTTTGAAGTTTATTATCACTTAATGAGATTAAAAGCAAAAATGTAGAGCAAACAAAACAATGTATGTCTGAATAGGGAGGCTGAGCCTTGGACATTTTAGAAGCTCTAGGTATTAAATCTAGAATCCATTTCTTCCCATCTTCCTCCAGAGCATTCATCATAGTTCTAGGAAGAACATTCTGGGGGGGGGAAGAGAATTTAAGACCAGGTCAAGGCCTTGATGGCGTAACTGTAGGGAGAGTTGAAAAATTGCCTGAATTGAGATGCTGATAATCTCCGCTTTCCATACATAGTAGTATGATGTGGTTCTGTCTCCTTTTTTTTTTTATATTAAGCCACAAGCAAGTTCCTGGGGAGGCAGCAAGTTTATTGTTCCTGAATGCATGTATCCACTGTCAGCCAATCCTAGACTTCTGGTGTTGATTGCACAGTCTCACTCAAACCAATGTTGTTTACCAAGATGGAAACACCTCGACTGCAYGCAACAGCTGAAGTCTGTTGATGAAACTGAACATGTTTATGAAAGCAGCCATGCCTTACCCTGTTGTTGCTCTGGCTGTGCTCACAGACTTTGCAAGGCAGAGCTAAGAAAGCCTCTCTAGTATCAAGGCCCTTTCTGCTGGTGTTTTACACCGTGGTATTACTGCTGTGTTCTGGGAGGGTAGAAACATGGTACTAAGTCATGTTAGTTACCTTTTTGCTTAATGCAGTCTGGATTTTTTTTTCTTCCTTCTAAGTTAATGATACTCTGGATGATATATTTGATGCTTCTGATGAAGAGGAGGAAAGCCAAGATATTGTTAATCAAGTGCTTGATGAGATCGGAATTGAAATCTCTGGCAAGGTATGGCTATTTTTGCACAGTTCTTGTGTTTTTCCCCTATATTTCATTTTTAAAAAATAGTTTGCTTCAAAAGTCAGCTTGTCTTAACCTGTATTATTCTAACTGAAGAAAAAACTTCTGTCTCCTCTCCTACAGATGGCCAAAGCCCCCTCAGCTGCCAGAGRTTTGCCATCTGCATCAGCATCAACCGCTGCCACCATATCGGATGAGGAGATCGAACGCCAGCTCAAAGCCTTGGGGGTGGATTAAATTCTTGCAATTCAGAGTCTGCCTTCAGAGTGTTCTGCTGTAGTCACACGTGCAWAGTGCAAATACTCTTTCAATGCAACTGATTTCTTGAAAAACTCTGAAGTTTTGGACATGACAACTTGAAGTTGGTGCTGGGGGAATGGGACGGGGAGAATAATTTAAATCAGTTTTAGAGAGAAGTACATTCTTTGTGCATTGCATGGAGTCTTTTTGACTCTGGACCAACCAGGGGTGTAGTCCTAATGATAAATTCATTTATACCAGATCCAAATCTGTCCTTCGGATTCAAAGTTTCCTTCTACTTCATGTTCCTGGTCTATCTCTACAACTAGCTATTCAGTGGCTGGTGATGCCATTTCCTAGGACAGCACCTATGTAATATTTATCACTTTTACAAAACTATTGCTRTAGAAACAGTCCGTCATCCCTTAGCATAAATGAAACTACACCTTGGCTCTAAGTTGGAAACTATTTTTTTCCATGAGAAATAATTTTGGCAGTCTAGCAAATTTAGGCAGAAAGAAAAAGTATTTTATGTATTTCTTTCAAATTCCTGTAGCAGCTTTTGAGCTGATTAAATAATAGTTTGTTATTCTTCTTACCAGAAGGGAAGGATACACTCCTTGTGCAGTTAATTTTTCTGGAAGAGGAATTACATTTGTTASTGAACTTCGTTGCATGAAAGGCACTGATTGAACTCCATCGTACTGTAACATAGCTGGTTTCAACAGATTTGCTGTGCCTTTATGTATATAAATCTTGTACCTTTGTGATTTTCTTTCTGAATGAGTCTTTGAAAGGTGACTAAACTTTCAGTTAAGATGGTTTCACAAAATGCTCTGGTGAAACCTCTCAGTACACTTGATGGGACTCAGTGCTGAAGTGGAGAAATGCACTCATTCAGAAATGCAACTTGTGCACTTGAAAAAAGGACATTTGCCTGAAGCAACATTTGTATATATTTTACAGTATTTCTTAATGGAAGATAACTGCATAATTGTATTGTTTGCTAAGATGAAACTGATCACATTGATAAACTAAATCTTAGTTTTGAAAACAGTTTTGGATCATAACTGATARCTACTTGTCAAACACTATAATAAAAGCATTCTGGTTCTGTGGAGGTTTTTCTATGGTCTCTGAACAGCATCAACACTATTCTAGCTTTAAGTGGAATATGCATTGGGTTAAGGAATAAAAACTACTGGTACTTGAAATGGATGACAAAATGAGAATGCAGTTCCCAGTTATAACTTCCTAGATGAAGTGATGTTCCTCAGTCCGACTCTGCTGGAGATATTTGCCCCKCAGTGCTGATTTAATGGTGCTGCTCATTGAAAAGAAACAACAATCATCATGGCTTTAAAAAGAGAAAAGCAAAATACCTCCCAATAGCAAAACCAGGATCAGTGACATAAAGAGATTTTTGTGCTAGATAAAGTGTAGCAGGAAACCTCAGTGAACCTACTGTTGTTGCACCATCTGCTGTTTAGGACTGAAGTGAGCAGAGAAAGAGAACTCATAGGAAAGCCTTCCTCAGGTTTTCGGCCTAGAATTGCAGGTGTTTTTTCTCTTTCAAAGAAACAATGGTCAMACTGAATCTGTCAGGTAGTGGGTAAGAATGTGTAAGTTAATATATTGCATATATCCAGTATGGGGTGATTTTTTTTTTTTTTACAAGTTATTTTGTAAAAATCTAATAAAAGGCTTTTTATCCCACGATGACTTTGTCCTCTGTAGGGTCAGTCTTACAGAGCTGTCTCTTACCGGGCTTTCTTTTTGAGCTCTGATAAATATTCCTTTGACTTGACCTATAAAGCACCATAATATTTATTGTAGTTGCTTGTGGGCCTTTGACTTGACATTCAGTAAAGACTTGTTCAAGTTTGCACTCCCTTGTCTGTAACCTCACACCCAAGTACTGCTTCTAGACACTGAAATTTCAGAGAAACCACAGTGTGAACAAAGGGATAAAATGTTACTGGGTTTTTGGTTGTTACTGCTTAGTTTGGTTGAACACCAAGGCTTGTGTCCCTTCTGAATAATACATGCATTTGATCCTTTTAATAACAAAATTAGGCATGGTTCCATTATGAGTTCTTTCCTCTGAAAGGCATTGCTTTTTGATGCCTTTGTAACCTGTATAAAAATCTTGGGGTAGCAGAGTGAGAATTTCTGTAGGTTTGCAGGCTTATGTGTTTACAATTATAGTTATTATGTTGTACCAGTCTGTAACAAAATTGCATCCTCTACTTAAGATACAAATTCYCTTCACTTCCAGCAGACAAAAAAATAACTAACAACAAAACCGCTCAATCCTTAACTTTTTTTACCCTTTTGAATACCTTAATAGCAAATGGCTCTGAGTCTCCATCTAGAGCAGTGATCTAGTTGTGCACACACGCAGAGTCTTACTCCACAAGTGCYCACAACAATGAGAACATAATGAAGATGATCCTGCATCCTGTAATACTCTTCCAATGTCTATTTTAAACATAAAGCACTTTCAGAGCCACATGCACATTCTATACACACCAGCTTTGGGTGGCTTTCTCATCTGAGAACTTGTCCATGCAAAGACAAGTTCTGGCATCCACATGTTTGAGTRGAGAAGTGTCACAGATTTTTTTTTYCCCAAGCATGTTAAGAACCACCACATTTTTTTTCTGGTTAAGCTTCTTTCCATCCTCACATATTTCCTCTTAGTTCTTACATTTGGCAGGCAGGTGAACAGCCTTTCTTACAGCTCATAATTGAGCAAATTGTAGTATTCAATGCGCACACATTAAGTCTAGCAGAGTCAGTGCTTCAAGTTACCTTACCTTTGATCAGCAGCTTGGCCTTTGCTTGGTCTCTTGTGTCCCTCACATGAGGGGACAGCACATTTCACAGCTCTTGGAGAGAGCTGAACCTCGGATTTATACCTTGTGATAATGCCTTGTTTTGCCCTCTAGTGTGGTTTTAACACTCTGCCTAAAGTTACCATGGGAAAAAAAGAGCACAGAAAAACCCCACAATTCTCTTGAAAATAGTGCAGCCCAGCTTGGCTGAATGGCCAACTAAACTGCAGATTTATAAAGCTACYTCTCAGAAATCTTGCCCTATACAGAGGTTGTTTCCTCCCCCTGCCTAATCAAGAGTAATTGATGGTAATTAAGTTTTGCTAGAGAAAAAAAGAATGAATTACCACTTTCTATAAGTCATGGCTCCAGCTGCAGCAGTTGAAACTGATTTTATCCAGCTTCTTTAAATAATTCTGCTCTAATTTGTATTTCTGTGGCAAGAGCTGGGTGAGTTTAAATGGTGACTGCTTYTCCCACCTGGCCTTTTGTCATTCCTTTGCAAGACAATGGTGCTATGTGTCACCTCCTATTTTATTTTTCTCTGTTGCTGCAATCAGTTTTCACTTGTGAGATCTCTTGTGGGGCAGGAAYCACCACGTTACAGTAAGGCTGCTCTGGAGTGAGCTGTTACAGCATGGTRAAATGCACTTCAGCATGACACACAGCTAAAAAGAGTAAAGTGTTATCAAAACAGAGCTACAAACCATTACCTGGGGTGCCAAATGTATAGGAATACTTTATTGGATGGGGAGGTTGGGAAGTACAGGATGATAGCATTTCAAGGAAGCCTTTTATAATTAAGAAAATAATTTAGAATATAAATAACATTTATATATATCAGGTAATAACTTCAACATACATCACATTTGACCACATCACATGAAAGGTACACAGATGCATGCCACCCCCTTTACTGAGTGTTGATCCTCTCAGCTGTACTTTCATCCTTTGGGCAATTCAGGAGCTGCTGACACACCCGTGGTGGATAAAGTCTGCACCTTGGTCTCTGCTGTAGTGGGTAAGCTATGCTAGTGGTGAGRGCAGCCTGAAGGGAGTACATAGCCACAATTTCTCCCCTTTGAGTTATTAAATTGKGTTTTCTTCTCAATTAAGGGCTTAGTGTGGTGCAATATATATTTTTATAAATGCAGCAGCAGCCTGATTTCCATAGCTGAATATGCTTACGGTCACTAATAAGTATCAGAGATAATTTAATGTACACTAGAGAGTGAGCACTTAACTTGTACATGCTGCTTCTAAGTGGTCTTGAACATTAAACTCCTTTGRCTTTCTGTGGGCCTATTATATAGACATTTTCTAAATCATCAGGTTTGTTTTATGGAAAAATAAAATGTGTCTGGCCAGTACTACTTGCATGTACTCACTTAATTTCAGTCCTGGGAAAACAGTCAAAATACTTACATGGTAATGGGCTAATTCCCATAACAATGAGCAGGGYTGATGAGATGGCTGGATAATCTCTCCCTGGTGAGTACTATAGTCATTAATTCAGTTTTCTCAGTGCCTGCCTGATAGGTGGAGCTCTGGCACTGGTATGTTTTCCCCTCGATTATCTCTCTAGGCTAGAGGATGACAAATAAGGGATTATTTTCAATTAGTGGGGTAATAGAGTGGGAATGTGCAGTACAGTAAATTCTTCTTTTGGATACTTTTTAGCTTAAAACACCATCTCTGGTGTAAGTATGTCCACACATGTTTTTAATCAGAAAAATGTAAAACACAAAGAAAGCTCAATAATAAAACCCCTGATAATTATTTTTTTCCTCTCAGGCCACAAATTCTTAAGGTCGGATAAATTGTATTCCTCTTTGTATAGCTAAGCCTGTCCAAATCAAGCTCTGAGGCACATAACAAATTATCARTTACCTTTGATAACAAGCATTAACAAAGTCATTTCTACTTGATAGCCATTCAGGACATCAAATGTTGGGCTGAGGCAGAGCAGCCAGCAGGATCAGTGTGACATCTCCATCCTGGTGAGCTCACAGTGCCTTAATTAACAAYAGCAAAATCCTTTCTGTGCTACAGCTGCTGCCACCAAGCTTTGAAACCTTTCTGTACCACACACGTACATTTAGTAATTAACTCGTACCACAGAGGCAAGGAAGGCACAGCACAGGGAAGCTTCAGCTACTTGTGGAAGCATTTCTAGCTGAACAATGCATGATAGGTTCCTTGTGAGACCTCCAACTCTCTAAACACACACTGTAGGATTTCGTTTCCAGCCTTTTACATTAAAACTGGGTCTTCCACAAACACCACATCTGAAGCTGCTAGCTTGTAGGAGGAACAAGTGTTTTACTAATTTTTCTTCTGTTTTTTTTTTTTTTTAAGCAACATAGTATTTACAATATTTAYGAAAAACAAAACAAATCCACAGCTGTAGTGGAAAAGCTTTACCGGCATTCCTGGTGCTCCTTGATGATAGAACTGAAAGCATTCTGGTGTAAACTGGTTTTCACTCTTTTTTCCCTTTGTCTTCTGTTGCAAAACCAAACTCTCACGACTTCTTTCTCGAGATTAAGCCCCTCAGCCATCCTCATAATTTCCTGAGAAGAAGGCTTACTTTGTTCTCCAAAGTGCCTCTCCAGGGCTTCTTTGGCAGCGATGCTGGATAAAGGGATAAAATTTCACCTTTAAAAACTTTTATGCACATTCAGGCTTTCACCACTAGCTCAAGAGAAAGATCAAGCAACAGCAGTGAAGGCAGTGACTTGGTTTGGTTCCCCTTTTTCTACATAAACACAAAGCACTAAAAGTACCATGAAGCTCTCTGCTGACATGAGCAGCRTGATGTCGTATAGAATTTTGGTGTGGGGTGATTAAAAGGCAAAAATAGCATCAAGTTCAGTGCAATTTCAGTGTTAATTATGAAATATTTATGCCTCTTCATACTATGTAGGAGATACAGCTGACTAATTAGTCATGAGTGGGGTCACAGGAACAATCCTGACCACCGTTTTGTCTCARACAATGGTCGTCAGGTGAGTTACCTGGTTGTATCAAATCATTTGGGTTTACAAAGAGGAAGAGTTTCCATGACTTGGATTTGGGAATTGCTGTGTGTTCTGCATCTCAYCTCTTAAAGACAGCACAAGAGTGTTTCTAGAAATCAGGAGCTCATGGCAAGSTGTTTCAGCCATCATCACATTTTCCAAATCTCTGCCCTAATCTGTTCCTCAGACTCAGCAGTGACCAAAGTTGAGTGATTCAGTAAACAGAATAATTTAACAGTTATTTTTTTTCTTATTTTCAGATAGAATTTGCTTCCCGTTTCAGCTACATATTCTCAAAAAACACAGGTATSCCATGCTTGTGTGCCTCCAGGATGCATCCAGGAGTTTCAGCAGTAGCTGTAATTTCTTTGGACACAAGAGGGCACTTCATGCATTATTCTGGAAGTGTGGCGCAGGTATTTCTGCTAGACAAATGCAGAGAGTATCGAGTTCTGATTGTTTTTGTTCTTTCATTTAGATGTCAATTTAGCAATATTTACTATTGTTACCAAAACTGCCTATTTAATAATGTGGTGTTTGCACACACAGAAGTATGTGCAACATCATTAGTTTTGACTACCAGCTTCTTAGACTCCAAGCAAAGTATAGAATACTTTCCACAAATGCAGATTCAGTAGTTTTTGCTCTGGCTATGTCTAACCTAATTTAGTTCATGAGWCTTTTCTTTTGCCATTAGTTTGCCTTCAAACATCCATTAAGAATGGCTGAGAGTAAGGCTGCAGAGYTCAGATTAAGCCCATCTCCCTGATTAGTTTCAGGTCTTTAAATTGAGGTGCTGTAGGCTTTCAAAGGAATATTTAGTATTTTCTTACTGTACAGAATTTAGTCCTGAACTTCTCCTCAATTATCTGTGCTCTTGACTGCCTGCCCTGTTTAATACTCTCTCTGCTGCACTGTTAGATGTCAAAATGCATCATCTACAGACAGATTTTATCAATGGGTGTTAAAAAAACAAAGCCCACAATGWCAGAGGAGCCATCTCCAGTGGGTTCCTCCAGCCAGGGACACGGAGATGCTCTCAGCTCACAGCTCTCATGCTGGCCATGGTCTTGGCACTGCCACTCGAGTTCTGACTGCAGAGAAGCTGGGAGGAGGAATTGGCCTCTCAAGAGCAAAGCCTCCTCCTTTGTGAAGTGCTGAGATGAGCTATGAAGCACTTCCCATTCCAAGTTAACTCCTAACTGAAAAGCAACCCTCCAGAGGGATCTTTAGTTTCAGAGAGAAGCCTTTAATGTTCCCTTCCAGCCCAAACCATTCCCTGATGCTGTGACTCAATAAAGGAATGTCGAGTTGGGTGTGAGCAGTGAAGRTGCACATGGCTGTGGGACAGGGGAGCAGCCTGCACACCCATGAGGTGGCACTGCACATCAGGAATATCCCTGTGCCAAGCACAAGCAGCTCACTGCAACAGCACCAGGGTTATTCCCAGAGGAAGACAAATTCCCTTCCTGGAGGAGAAAACCACAGCTCCCTGGAGGCACCTGAGTGAATGCAACTTTACCAAAGGTTGCAGGGTCTGGGATATCTAAAGGAGAAGGAAATAACCCACAATCTCATTTTGCCTTTGTAATTGTGTTTATAATATGATTTCCCAGCCTCTCTGATTTTCCATATGGAGTTGAGGCTGGAGTGGTKGTAGATTTTGGCCACCAGAGTTGGGAGAAACAACAGAACAACTTTTCAGTTGTTTGCAGAACAACTCTGTTTTTTTCCTTTTAATTMATTAAAGTGTTTCTTTGGAACTTCAAAGCATTCAGTGACAGGGATTCAATAKGACATGTAAAATCTTTCCCTCAAACTCCCTCAGATCTCAATTCTCTACCAAATTYATATGGGTTTTTTATTGAATCAAAATTTATATGTTGATTCATTATACCAAAACAATGTAATTTACTTTGTCCAACACAGAATCTCCCAAAATGAAAAAAAGGGTGCTCTGATACCTTCCTCACTTTATAGGTATAATAAAATTTTGACAAAATTGGAATAAAATACCTTTTCATATGAAAGTGTGCTGTTGAAAAAAATGTCTTTAATTGGAAAAAAATAGTATCTTTGGAGTGAATTGGGAATCTGGAGGTTTATGCTATTATTTTTCACTGGAATTTTTCCAAATATTGAAACTTTCAGAAGCATGAGATGCAGATATACATTAAAGGAAAATAGCACTTCACTTTTGAACAGAAGGAAAAGAAACATCTTGCCAAAGTGGTTTCTAACCTGTAATGAACTAAATATTTATTACCTGATGGTGGTTCTGCGCTTTCTCTTCCGTTCATTCACTCCAACTTTTTCATTGTACAAAGCTGTATTGAAAAAAAAAAAAAAATAAACCAAGAAAACCTGGCGGTTACATTCCACAGGGACTGGAAAACAAGCACAATCATTTCCAGAAAAATATTCACTGTCTTTGAAGAARGAAGAAAGCACAACAGACAATGCTGCCAAATAAGAGGAGCATCACACATRGGATCTATCTTTTGTTGGGATTGTTGGTCATTGTTTTACCTCCAAYTGGTTAGAGGCAAAAATGGTCAGAAGCAAAAGTCCTTTGCTAGTGAGAAATCCTGTGTGCTGCTAAATGGGCTGTCCTGCAGATCCTGCTCTGACTCTCTACTGGACTGGAACTGGCTTGCTGCGATGGGACTGCAAGAAATTTGTTCCATGAAGTGATGTTTCTGTTATTCTGTACACTCCAAACATTTCAGTTTCCCCCTCCTTGCTCATCAAACAAAAAACCCCTAAACTTTAATGCAACCACACCTCAGCATTTAGAGGTGGCAAAGCAAAACCTTTAGTTTGTGGAAGACACGTGGTCATCCTTGAATATAAATTTGGGATTCTAGTTGAAGTGAAAATCGATACTTAGAGGATTTTAGTTCTCTACCTCCCACTTGTTCTGCTTCCTCCAGCCACTTGGACAGGATGGATTTCAGCTTGCAGGCGTTCTTGAAGCTCAGCTGCAAGTTCTCGAACCGGCAAATTGTTGTCTGGCTGAACTCAGAGCCGTGCACAGCAGCCAGCGCTTCTCCCACGTTGGTTTGTGTATAGCCTGTCAAAAACAAACAGGAAAAAACAACTTTGAAGCCTTGTTAGGARAGGGTTGCTTTCTTGAGATGCTCAGCCCCTCACTGCTGTTCCTGTGGRCAGTGTGTGCCGCAGTGCCCTAAGGCTGGGCTTCCTGCAGAGCTCTGCGCTCACCTCAGAGCTGTGCTCAGTCTCCTGGTGGTTTCAGAGGAGGGTTACACTGATTTAATGGAGTTTCACACTCYGAGATTAGGGATTTGAGAAGGATCCAGATGCCCCATATCTTTCTGTAGATGGTGCACCAGCAACGAGCTCATCCCTAGAGGCTCTGCTGCTCTCCTGTTATTTGTTGCAACAATTAAGGTGAAGCCATCAGAGAAACACAGCAATTTCCCTGCAGACCCTAACTTTGCATCAGCAGCTCCTTGTTCAGAGCTCTGAATGTGGATCTGCCATGGCTGGGGGGCTGGATCATGATCCTCCTTGTCTSCTTTGGTGCCAGGACAAGGCAGGATGTCTTTAGGTGCTGAAACATCTCATGAAGCATCTTTTAACCTCCTTTTTGACTGCACCAATTCTGTGTCTGTCAGTCTCAGACCCACAAGTCTGTTTTCCCTTGTAAGGCTCAAAGTCGGATTATTTTTCCTGTACACATTGCTTTTCTGCCATCTTACAGGCTCCGTTCTTGCCCCTAAGGAAGATTTGTTCCCTCAGAAATTCAGGATAAAGATGCAGTAATTAACTGTGTGTCTCCTTCCATCACAGTGGCTGAGCTCAAACACATTACATACGGGAAAATTGACCAGTCTGCAAATATTTTTTAAACCCGAATTTCTTTTATTTCAATTTAGACTGAAAATGAAACACCCGCTTTCTAGCTTTTGAGATAGTACACACATACCCCAAATAACCTTATATATTTTTAGRTTTATAAAATAGAAGCATTCCCTATAATTCTGATGTAATAGTATAAATGATAATGTCAAGAAAAACAGGGCTCAGCCCACCTTTGTCCTCATCAAAAACATCAATTTCTGCCCACCTATGTCTTGGCACAAAAAAAAATAAACCACGAAGAGAAGTTTCCCACAGGTGTGTAGGATTTCCCATGAATGTCAGTACACCATCAGATAAAACATTCCATGGGGAAGAGGATGGGTAGGAGAAATTAGAGCATGTCCTGCCCTAAATTGCAGACAATTTGGAGCTGTGAGAAATGTTGCACCTTTGCTGAGTGTAATTTATCAAAAAGCACTCATTTTCTCTGCATTTAAGACAAATAATTTAAGGGCAGGAAAGTTTAAAGTCCCTTTCTGCAAACTAAAAGCTGGAGTTCATTAATTCCATGCAGGTCTGCTAGGAATGGAGAAAGTTTTGCAGGGCAAGGCAGGATTAGAGTTATGATCAGACAACTGCAGAGGCCAGACCATAAAAYACCCAGAAATAATTGGGCTTTCACTGGCATCTTTCAGCCTTTTTTTGGTGGACATAAAGCACATACCCAGCTTAATTCTCCTCAGCTTAAACTCGTTGGCAAATTTCTCCAGTTCCCTGATTTCAGGCGAGTCCATGTCCACGGGRTCCTCCACAGCCTTGCTTTTCCTGCGGAATTCCTGCTTGAAGTCGGCGGCATTGGGATCGTCCGTGAGCAGGGGCTGGGCCATGGGGGCAAAKCCATGGCCCAGGGCACAGGAGCTGGCACTCAGGGCATGCTCRGGGAACTTGTACAGGCACGGGGTCAGCCCACCTGAGCAAGGCCAGAGASAGAGCTCATTGCAGTTATTCTCTAGTGCTGCACAGTGAAAACCTCCCTGAACTGCCTCATAACCCACGTGTGTTTTATTTATTACATCATTTCTGTCTGAGACAGCCCAAGAGTTAGAATTTCCTAGGATGTATTTTCTTTTTCTTGTCCCAGCACATAAAAACTGATCAACAGCCCTTTTCACCATCCTATTACTTGGCAAACTGTGAGGCACTTAAATAAGAGGCAAATTACCTAAACTTCCACAAATAAAAATCCAAGCTCTAAGCTGGAGTTAAATGGCACAACAAGATCRATGGATCTGTGTCATTCTGAGTCACTTGAAATTTGCCAGTCCCTATTTTCTGGTACAAAGAATATTTCCATGCAGATGCCATTTGATGTTCAGACAAAATACTATCTTGGCTTAACTCCAGCATAAAACTATTTTGAGAAAAGTAAAAAGACCTCAAAGAAAAGAAAAAAAAATACAAAAAACAAAACAACAACAACAAAAAAAAACCCAAACAAAAACAAAACAAAACAAAAAACCACCCCAGAACTATTCTCCTAAAAAGCAATTGCTCAAAGACAAAATCTTGCACTACTTTTTGCTCAAAAAATCTCGGATTTAACAAGTAGATTCAGTTTAGAGTGAAGGCTGTTTTTCCCCTGGACTTTAWATGTGGAGTTAATGAGTCTCTGACCTGAAAGAAGGGTGGGGAGAATTACTGGAGAAATCGTAACACTGCTCAGTGTATCTGGAGGCAAAATACAGGTTCTCAAGCCATTCTTTCCAATATTCTGAATTACACAAAACTTTGTAGAAAAACTCAGAACTCCATCAAGCTCCCACTGCTTCCTCTATTTATTAGGGTTAGGTTTTTCTTCACTGCCCCAACTGCTCCCATAAGTGTTGGAGGTTCTACCCCCATGGGATTATTTGATTATTTTATGCACTTCACATATGCACTTCA